CCCCAAAACCCCAAAACCCCAAAACCCCAAAACCCCAAAACCCCAAGATAAATACCTTTATTTTATACATAATTTAACTCTGAAAATGTCTATTGAAGAGAAGAGTCAAAGTATTCTTAATTCCTTCATACTTAACTCCTTTGCTGGCTCTATTGGAGGAATTGCTCAAGTGCTGTGAGGTCAGCCATTTGATATTGTCAAAGTAAGAATGCAGAATCAATCTTCAGCAAATCCTTTGTATAAGAACGCAGCAGATTGAGTAAAATCTATTTATCATAAAGAGGGGCTCTTAGCTTTTTACAAAGGAACAGTTGCTCCTCTATCAGGTGTCGCATTATGTGTTTCAGTTCAGTTTGGGCTAAATGAGCTATTTAAAAATATCACTGAACAATACAATCATAAACATCATGCTAGTAGCAGCCTAACTTCTCTCCAATATTATATGTGAGGAGGATTCGTCGGATTAGGTAACTGCTTCATCTCAACACCAGTCGAGCACATTAGGATCAGACTCCAAAATCAAAGGAAAGAATCTCATCGGAGATATACTGGATCTTATGATGCATTCATCAAAATTAAAAATGAATATGGAATCAGAGCTCTTTACAAAGGCTTATCAAGTACGATGTGCAGAGATATCATTGCATTCGCGATCTTCTTCGGAATTTATGAGACCTTTAAAAGAAAATATACCAAGAAAGATGATTCCAAACGTATCCCTATTTGAATGGCAATCGGCTGTGCCTCAAGTGTTGTTCTTTGGGCAGCATCCTATCCTTTTGATGTGATCAAGACAATACACCAATCTGACTGATTTGATAACCCAAAGTTTTTCAAAACTATGGAAATAATCAGACATATATACAAAAATGATGGTTTATATGGATTTACCAAAGGATTTCTCCCATGTGTAATTAGAGCTCCATTTGTATTTGCAGGTACAATTCTGGCATACGAGCTGAGCTTATCTATAATATCTACATATAACTTCACCTAATTCCAAGTTCAACCTTAAAGAATATAATAGGGGTTTTGGGGTTTTGGGGTTTTGGGGTTTTGGGGTTTTTGGGG